GCACATAAAAACACCAACAACAATCCAGGCTGTAGTTTTCTCAATTAATTGTTAATGTTTCAGATTGTTGGACAATGACTAAGGATGATAGAAGAAGAATAGATGCCTTCCATTGTGATGCCAGAGAAGAGTCTTGCATCTACCATGGACTGACATAAAAACAAATAGGTCTGTCTTTGAGAGGTTGAAACCAAGTTTCTCCTCTGAGGCTACAATTTTGAAGCTCCACCTGGACACGTGGCCAGGAGAGATAGGTCCTTGAGAAGGACATCATGCTCGGAAGGGTGGACAGACATTGAGGGAGGGGGAGACGCCGTACGAGATGGATTGATACAGTAACTGGGGCAATAGGGGTTGGTGTGTCAGAATAAGTGAGACTGGCTCAGAACAGGGAAGAGTCCAGAGCTTTTGTACACAGGGTCGCCATGCATGGCAGGCCATTCAACCAGTAATGCATTCTATGAGGTTTGGAAGCAGGTGTGGCACCCATTTCCTAAACAAATTGCCTCTGGAAACTTTGATAAATGTCAATAGTTGTAGAGGGACTTCTGACATTTTGATCATAGGGTCGCTATGAGTCGTGCTTGACTCGAAGGCAATTAACAACATTACTGGTAAGAAATCTTTTGGTATAATTATTATTCTTTGTAAACCACTTGTTTCTTTCATTTTCCTACTTGTTAAAGCATGTAATTTTTTTCTTTATACTCATTTAAAATTCTGAAATTATACATTGGTTTGATTTGATGTTTTCAATACATCATTTATAATCACTCAGTGGTCAATTCTTATCTAAGGATGCAGATACAACTTCAACTGTGGAATTCTTTTCCATTGCTTATGAGAGCTCCTACCTTCTCTTTCTCTTTCAGATGTTATTATTATCAGAAAGATGGTTGATCCTATTTTGACTTTTAAATATTTGTTTTGTAACTTTTGGTTTTTTAATATTTATCAGTTTATGCTTTAATATTTAAATTGAATGTTTATCTGGTTATAACATTTCCCTGAATCTCTCTCTCTTTCTTATCTGAAACAACGTGTAATTCTTGTTTTGTGAATTAATTCTAGAATTTCTCTCAGTATTCTACTGAGAGCATCATACGTTAACTATTTCATAAGTTGCCTATTTACTAGTAACTATATGTAAACTATTCTTTTCAGATTTAGAAATCCTGTAACTTTAACTAACAAAATTCTAAGTATGAAAACTAAAGACTACTCCCAGATGGGGAAGATGTTTTTGAGAAGAATCTCACTGCTTTCCCCCATCTGAAATAAAGTGCTTTGTATATAGGGGAGATAAAAGTTATAGATGAGAATTCATGGTGGGAAGGGGGGAGCAGAGGAGTGAGGACGGGCAGGGGTGAGGGGGTGTTTAATCATAGGAACATACAATTTACAATTTGAGTGAAGGTAAGTGTGTATAAGGGAAAGGAGAAGGATTCAGTGTGAAAAACAATGCCTACAAACTTTGTTAGTAAACCAGTATAAAATTAAAAAAAATATATAGGAAAAAGTTATTTCCTGTGTTCTGTATTGCTATTGTTGAGTGTGTAGTAATTTATTGCTTACTATATTTTTATGTAAATTATGTACATTTTGTACATTTATTTGCTAACAATGCCCTCTCTGGCGAGGTGTTTTCCAAAGCCAGTTATGCAAATTTAATTTTGTTTTGTTCTTATTTTGTTTTATTTTTTTCTTACCATAGTCATTTCTCTTTTATGATGTCAGATATTTCAAGGCCTTTGACTGTGAATCATAACAAACTATGGCTAATATTAAGAGAAATAGGAATTGCAAAACATTTAATTATGGTTATGTGAAATCTACACTAGACAAAGAAGCGGTTGTCTGAATAAAGCAAGGGAATGTCGTGTGGTTTAAAATCAAGAAAGATATGTGTCAAGTCTGTACCCTTTCTCAATACTTATCTAGTCTGCATATTGAGGAAATCATTCTAAAAGCTGAGCTTTATGAACAAGACTGTGACACCAGGTTTGGAGCAAGAGTCATGAACAACCTGTGTTATATACAATCTTACTTGATGAAAGTGAGAATGACTTGTTACTGCAGAAGATCAGGGAATAAAACTTCAATATAGATTATAACACGACATCAGGAAAACAATCTTCACCACTAGACAAACAGGCAACATTATTATAGATGGATAAAAGATTGAAATGGTCACAATTTTATTGTACTTGGATCCACAATCAACACCCTTGGTACTAAAAGCCAGGAGATTAGAAGATGTATAGCATTAGGAGAATGCGCTGTCAGAGTCCTCTCCAAAGTCCTG